CACAGCTACATTCCTATATCTCTTTTTGATAGTTATGTAGTCCATTTGGTTTTTCGTTTTTCCTCCTGGGGTTCTCCATGCCCATATTCGTCTTGGATATTCTTGGAACTAGGTATTGACCTGATCATTCGCCATGCACCATTGAACCCATTTTTCCGCATTCGTTGCAGGTTCCTTGGCCAAATTTGCCACCTTATTCACACTCCCTTTCATTGCCTACTTTGGTATTCAGGTCTCCCATGATAATTATAATTTCTTGCGATTTACACTGAGCTTTGGTATTGTCTAGCATAGAGTAGAAATTTTTTATTTCTTCTTCCGTGCTTTGTGCTGTCGACGCATACACAACAATGATGGATATGTTGAAAGGCGTTCCTTTCAGTATTCCAGAACGCATTTCTTTATGTCGTGGTCTGATATCAATCCAACACCTCTTTTTTCATTTTTCTCTCCGCCTGCATATATAATCCTGTGTTTGTCACTGACAAAATCTCCGTTGTTTGGCCACCCCGTATCACATACTTCTAAAATGTTGACATTTAACCTACTCATCTCCTGTTTTATATTTTCCAGTTGGCTATAGTGGTTTACCATTCTAACATTCCATGTTCAGAGAATTATTTTTTGTTTGATTTAAATATTTGGGGAGTGTTCTAACGGACGATGGAAAGTGCGACACTAAAGTCCGAAAATGCATCGGGATAGCCAAAGATGCATTCCAAAAGCTAAGCAGAGTATTAAGAGACAGAAAAAAGAAAAGGGTACTGAACTCTTACGCAATATCAATCTTTCTATATGGAAGTGAATACTGGACAAGCTTCTCAAAGATGAAGAACAGACTTGATGCAACAGAAATGGGGTTCTACAGGAAGATGCTGGGGATATCATGGACCGAACATGTGAGCAACGACGAGGTTTTAAAGAAAATCAAAACAAAAAAGAAAACTTATGCTTAACATCAGGAAGAGGCAGTTGAAATTTCTGGGGCACGTGATTCGGGGTTTCGCAAAACTGATACTCAGGACAAATTGAGGGAAAGAGGGACAAAAGGGAAACAGCGCGTAACATACTTGATGGGCTTGAGTAAATGAATGGTAGAACAGGGTTCAAGGGAAATAAAAAAAAAGTTATTAAGAGCTAAAGTGGGAAGAAGACGTGGAGGACCATGATCGCCTACGTCCTGAAGAACGTAAAAAGAACATAAAGAAGAAGAGATGCTTTGTCCAAATTTCCAAATTTTGCTACTCTAACCCATTAATTATTTTTACTTCTTCTATCAATCCCTCCCCTTAAACGACTGCTAAAAGCAAATTCCTTGTGTGTGTGTGTGTGTGTGTGTGTGTGTGTGTGTGTGTGTGTGTGTGTGTGTGTGTGTGTGTGTGTGTGTGTGTGTGTGTGTGTGTGCGAATGTACAAAAAATATGGCGACATACGTACAAATAAGTCGAAATATTGGTCATAGTGTTTAGGCTAGTAAAATTTAATGACAAGCCAAAATAAACATTTACCCATTCAAAAAATAAAATCCAGTACGAAATAAACAAAATAAAATTAAATATGAAAACAATATAAGAAAACTTCTTTGTTCTCTTCTCCACCAAATTTCGTCCACGTTACTTGACCTTTTGTCCAAAAGGAAATCAAATATTAAATTTTAAAGATTCTCTAAGTTTTATCTGATCCTCTTCGAAAATTAACAATTTTCGAATAATTTACCTCATGGAATTTTTTTTTCTTACTGTAAACACATATATTTTTTATGTTTATGTGTGCTGTCTGCAATGAAACCTATAATTTCTTTCCCACTTATAAGACTTATATGGACGTTTTAGAAGCCAATATTTCCATTAAGAAACGAATATGAAGTTTTCTAATTTAATTCGAGAATTAATGGCAGTATTAATTTTACACTGTCAGGTTTGTTACTTTTCACTTATGCACATATACCTGAGTCTGTCTATATTTCTGAGATGAGTTCAATTCCTGGTTAAGGCAGTGGAGAACTTTCAGAGGGAAAATTATCAGGAGATAACTGATAACTGACATCCCTCAAACATGGCACGTGGAACTAGAACAGTCTACCCCAGTGATCGAAATAAAGGGTTCAGTTCGAAATTCCAACTACCTGAAGAAGGCCGGAGCGTACAACGGCCGAAACGTTGTGACAAATATGGCGACAAAGATGAGGACAATAGTCCGACTAATGTAAATACTGCACAAATACCTTTACAAAAGGTATGAATCCATTACTCCCCAGCAATTATGGGCTAAATCTAGAAAATAACTGTTATTCTAAAAAGTGTTGATGTAATATTCACTCATAAAAATGAGTTATTCTTATATGGAGATGATGAGACAAAGTGGAAAAGGCTAGAAACGACGCGTTCCGTCGTCTATTGGTTTCGGCTTCGTCAGAAAATGCGTTGGGATTTTTTAGGATAATTCTTTTTTAATCATTTCACCCAAAGCAAGGCAATAAAGCCACTTAGACACAAGGCTTAATGACTGTAAGAGAATGTGAGAAAAAAACCTAAAAACACGATTAAGCAGGAGGAACAATAAAAGAGCAGGGATTAAAGAAGGCAGAATATATCGACTGACATTGCATTTAATTTTTTTGAAGATTAAAGTTGATTGAGAAGTAAGAAGCTGAAAGGTAGTTCCACAAGCGAGAAGTGAGAGAGAATAAAATGATAGAGTTCACGGTTACATTTGGACATTTCAACTGTAAAATGATGAGACCTTGCCGCCAATCTAGTACTGCGCTTACATTCATAAAGTCTAGGTACCATAGAGGAAAGTTCATTAGAACAATTACCCATGAAAGTATTTATAGAAAAGTACAGGGAATCTATGTTACGTCGGTGGGAAGATAAAAAATGACTGAAGCCAAGATTCCAGGTCAGGACAAATGACATTGCTGATTCTTTGTACTTTATCAAGAATTTCTAAATACATTAGATTAGTGGCCATAAGTTAAATTGACCTTATGAGATCCGACGACCAGAAAACACAGAGGGTTGATAAGAAGTAAAAAACAAAAGAAAACAAACAAAAAATCAATTAATCATAATTTTACCCCACCACCAGAAAGTTTTTCTTCCTTCTGAGTAAAGAAATACTTCGAAATTACTTTTGCAATCTGCTAGTGATTTTTTTTTTATTAAGACAATACTCTAAAGGTAATACGATAGTATATTTAAGGAATATAGTGTATGAATGAAAACTTCTAGGTTAAGGTGTTAATATTTATCTTCTGGTCACAAGTGAAAAACGCAGTCTAGCCTTATCTTCATGAAATATTCTGAAATAATTTTGGAAGGATTTCACGAGTTGCTGTGTTTGATTTAATTGAGAACAGTACTTGTTCGAATCCATCGTCTGATCCTACAAAAAGTGCACATAATAGAAAACTCTCTTCCGATCCCGCTATATTTAGTGGGGGTTTCATTTTGTCCATACGACTATCTACAACATTCCAGTTTGTTGTATAGTATCAATGTTTTATCGCTCGTCACAATTTGTTACAAAAACGGAATATTTTCATAAATTTACGTATTTTTATGCTTAACTTATGCGGAAGTTATACATCAAAGAGACTAACATGATCAAGCTAGTGTAAATAGCTTTCAACGCTTGATTATTGGTAACTCCTGCATTCCATAACATTGTTCCAAAATAATGTCTTCATTTTTTATCATTTTTGCTATCAATTTCAACTTGACTACTCGACCGTGGAGATTCTTTCTCTAACACTTCAAGCCACTTTTGACACGTTCGCTCTTTTACAGTACCTTCTCCAAAACTACATAAAAAAAAACATAATATAACTAAAACCCTTATATTTTTATGTTTGTAAAGTTACAATCAATAAACAGTAGTTCTGACATTTTTTTTAAATGCCTGCTAATATGACACCAATAAATGCAATGACATTAGTTAAGCCCGACTGAAAATCGAACGCTGCTCTCCAATATCTCCTCCCGATCCACTATTCATTACACCACACGCACACCTATTGGTAGAGTCATGAAATTAACTAGAAGATAGCAGACGATAGTAGAAAACTAAATATGTTGCTTAATAATATTAATGTTGAAAATTTTTTAAAAAGGATTATTATTATTATTACTTAAAAGACCAAACTAACGTTTTGTCCATCAATTTCACTTATTATAATGATTAAAAGTAAAGAAAATAAAAAAGCCATATGCTTTGCTTCATTCACTCACCTCCTTGGTCTTTTGACCTTGAGAGGCAATGACCAGCTAAGACAAGCCTTGTACCCGAATCCGGGTAAGCGGAGACTGGGTAAATTTTGAAAATTGCCCTAGTGGAAACGCTTGGGTCCCCGCTTTAAAAACACTGGCATATAGCTTCCTAGACTCAGTGGCGGGTGAAAGGTGAATACCGTTTCATCCACACACACTGTCCTAAAACCTCATCATTGTCAGAGAATCTCGACCCTTCTTTCTTAGACGACGGACGGCAATTTAGTCCATCTTCCCACGGACGACTTTAGTATAAAATCAGTACTTAAGACTTTTTTTCCCACCATGAACTTTAACCGCTGTTATGTTCGTATTTCTTGGTTTATTTCCCAGCCTATGTCCAAGAGACCTGTGCCTGGTTACAAGCAACAGCCTTTTCGACAGGTCTCTCTGGAACCAATTTAATTTGGTTTTCCATACACTAACGTTATGTGGAAATGGGGACAATAATGTCTAATTTCATAACATATGCTGGACTCATATCTACTATGATATCCAATCAATTACATGATTAATTGATTTGTTTTTAAGTTAAGATTTTCTTTTTTGAGATAATCTATCTCTGATACAAATCCTAATATTTAACCCATAGCTAGGAGGGAAATTGGATTCAAATCTTTTTCAAGGGCATTTGCGCATAAGTAAATATAACAAACTCAACCAGAAGTGGAACTCACACTCTGATTTATCATCTTGAGCTGTTATCAATTACACCACCCCATATCCAAACTTACAACACTTGCTTTTCCCAAGCGGTCACTCATCTCTGTACTGAACAAGCCCGATGTTGCTTAACTTTTGTGATTGTACGAGAACCGCTGTTTCAAAAGATATCCGATGAAACGGTAATATTTGGTGATGTAGTTCTTATGACGTCTGTACAAATGTCAAATGCCTCCGGCTGCAAGGAATTTGGTATGGTGATTGAAGGTTTTGAGGAGCGTTGAACCACCTTTTAATTGCTGCTTTTCTCAGTTCTACTTTGGCCTGCGGTGGTAGCACCTGTTAGGTTCCCAGCTACAGGCAAATAGGGAAGCAACAAACAAAAAAAAACCCTATGAAAGTATAACAATACATTTTTATAGTAAAAATACAAGAAATGCGTTTTTATATTTAAAAAAAATTACGAACACTACATATTTATAGTGATATTACTAACAATACATTTTATAGCAAAATGACCACTAATACATTTTATAGCAAAATGACCAACAATACATTTTATTTCTGTAGTTGAAGCATTAAAATTGCGTTCAAAATATTTAGATATCGCCATTAAATAACCTATAAACGTTAATATGCCGCTGCACAAAATCAACCAAACAAACAATAAATATCAAACGAGTGGGTGGGATTTTATCTTGCATTACAACTTTTCCTTTTCCTGATTTGTTAATAGCAAAAAATAAAAAAAATAAAAAAAATAAAAAAAACAAATCTTTATTAAACCGGAATAAATATTCGACACTAATCTGAATATTAAGTTAAACTCAATCCGGTAAAATATTGTTATTATTAAGCTTAACTTAATACAATAAACGATGGTTAGTCCTTTCTTCTCGCTTTCTTTTAATACTTTTTCTCGTTAAGATTGAGCCCACCAATAATAAACAGCTATCAGTAAAAAACTTATAATTCCCTGTTTTGTATGGTCTCGCTCTTTATTTTTTCCTCGTTGGAAAACTAAACTATATATATATATAAAAAAACATTATATATAAAATGTTTTGTGGAACAATAAAAATTAAAATCTTTAAAATATACATTTATTCTTTCGTTTTTATTTAAAAATAATCTTCGACCTTTTTCCTTATATATATATATATATATATATATATATATATATATATATATATATATATATATATATATATATGTTTTGTCTAACTGAATAAAAAGTAACATAAAAAGTAACATATATATATATATATACACACACACACACACAACACACACACACACACACACACACACATTTGAACTTAAAGAAAAAAATATAATATATATTTATATATATATATATATATATATATATATATATATATAAGTTTTTCAATTATGAGTTTAGCTAACGTAATATCATTCTAATCATGGAAATAATATATTGTGGCTATTTTTGATGAATAAAACTTTTCTCTGTTATTTTATTGGTGTGTTTCACCTACAATTTACAACATGTGTTTATGCAACAAATTTATTATAATTTTCATTTCAATGAATGACTATATCTTCAGGTCGAGTATTAATTTAATGTATATTGTAACGAGGATTGTCTGTTATGTTATTTTTCCCAGCAGTACGATAATATTTTTACATAATTGTAGCACTATAAGCATTTTTGCATTGGGGTGTGTAAACACCCCTAGGGGCTATCCATTTTCGGAAATCCGAAGTGACAAACACAGGGTCAATCAGTGATCACTACGTTTCACTGCCTCATGACCAGCTATCCTCATTCATCGGTTCTATATAACCCAACAATATTAGGTTATTTTAACAAAGATATTGCACCATGTCATCATGCTCGTGTTGCTTAGAATTGGTTTGAGGTGCATTCTGAAAACTTCTGCCACATTAGTCCGACAGAAGCCCACTCGAATATTTCTGGGACTTAGTGAAGTAGTCTATTTGCATACACCATTCTGTACCTGCAAATAACAGGGAACTGTTGTCAACTCTATTGACACGGCATGTCTTAATATGTCTCAGAATCTCTCCAGAGGATTCGACGAAATTTGCCGGGTTAAAACAGGTTCCACACGTTAGTAAGCAAATATGCCATGACTTTTAGCACGTCAGTACATATATGAAAATAACGGTTTCTCATACATGTTTCAAATATAACAATCCCGTTTTTAATTGTGTGACACAAGACAGCAAGTTTGCCAGATTGAGCTAACAAGTCATGATTCGGACTAATTTTAAAAGCTTGGTGTGGCTAAATTTTGAATTTCGTTATTTGCAACTTTTTGAGGTTACTTTTAAAATAAGCAGCGATAACTTGTGCTAGAGAAGAAAGTCAAAATTTAGACGGGCTGGGCTTTCAATGTAGCCCGACTTGCTACTTGTTAGCTCAATCTGGCAAACTTAATCTCTTGTATCTGACACAATCAAAAACGGTATTGTCATATTTTTGCATTCTTTCTTTTTTATGTTATTCTATTTTTCTTTCTTTTGGTCTTTCTTTCCTTCATTAATATCTTTTTTCTTTCATTATTTTTAATCTTTCTTTCACTTTTTTTTTCATTTTCTTTCATTATTTTTAATCTTTCTTTCACTTTTTTTTTTATTTTCTTTCATTATTTTTAATCTTTTTTTTCATTTTCTTTCATTTTTTTTTTTCATTTTTTTTTCATTTTCTTCATTTTTTTTAATCTTTCTTTCACTTTTTTTTTCATTTTCTTTCATTATTTTTTATCTTTCTTTCATTTTTTTTCATTTTTTTCATTATTTTTAATCTTTTTTTTCATTTTCTTTTTTTTTTCATTTTTTTTCATTTTCTTTCATTATTTTTAATCTTTCTTTCACTTTTTTTTTTCATTTTCTTTCATTATTTTTAATCTTTCTTTCACTTTTTTTTCATTTTCTTTCATTATTTTTAATCTTTCTTTCACTTTTTTTTCATTTTCTTTCATTATTTTTAATCTTTTTTTTTCTTTTCTTCATTATTTTAATCTTTTTTTTTTTTTCATTTTCTTTCATTATTTTTAATCTTTCTTTCACTTTTTTTTTTTTTTTCATTTTCTTTCATTATTTTTAATCTTTCTTTCACTTTTTTTTCATTTTCTTTCATTATTTTTAATCTTTCTTTCACTTTTTTTTCATTTTCTTTCATTATTTTTAATCTTTCTTTCACTTTTTTTTTCATTTTCTTTCATTATTTTTAATCTTTCTTTCACTTTTTTTTTTCATTTTCTTTCATTATTTTTAATCTTTCTTTCACTTTTTTTTCATTTTCTTTCATTATTTTTCTTTCATTTTTTTTTTTTTTCTTTTCATTTTTCTTTCACTTTTTTTCATTTTCTTTCATTATTTTTTCTCTTTCTTTCACTTTTTTTTTTCTTTTTTTATTTTTAATCTTTCTTTCTTTTTTTTTCATCTTTTGCTTTATTTTATGATGGTTTTCTTTTTTTTTTTTTCTTTTTTATTCTCTTCTCTTTTTTTACGCTTCTTCCTTGTTTTACTTTGTTTTCTCCTTTCTTTTTTTTTTTTTTCTCTCTTCCACTTTCTTTTATCTTTTCTTTATTTTTTTCTTTCCACTTTCTTTCTTTCTTTCTTTCTTTCTTTCTTTCTTGTTTTCCTTCATTCTCTCTTTCCACTTTTAAAATATTGTTTCTTTCCCCCCTTTTATTTCGTTCTATAAATTTATTTTTCTTTATCTGTTTTCTTTCTTTCCACTAGTCCCAGTGAAATACCTGTTACTCTGTCCTTCTGTCAGACAACGCCTATAAAAACTGAGTAACATATGTCATGAACAATGGCACACTAACAGCTATATATAATTACATTGCCAATAAGTCCACAAATACAAAACGTTACCGGGTGTGCGTGTGAGAATAAAAATACGTGAAACACAGGGAAAATCCATTCTTCTTTTATGTAATGTCTTTTAGGACGTCGGCGATCACCAATTTCCTGTTTATTGTTTCTTTAAGTAGCTTTTGAACATTCACCATTTCTCTTTGTCCTTGTTCTGCCTTCTTTTTACTCAAAGACGTTAAGTGTGTTATTTGCTTCTCACTTTAAGTATGTTCTTTGAGTGTCAAATTCGCCTGACTGTCTTTCTTTTTTATATGTTCTTGATATTTCAACTGTCTCTTTCTGGTTGTAAGTACCAATCTCTCTGTATTATTTAAGTATTTCCAGTTTCTCAAATTTTCGGTTTTTTGATATTCTCAGCATATGTCTGTAGATCTATATCTCTGTTGCTTCAAGATTTTTCTTAGTCTCTGAGTGTATTATATAGTATTAATTGCTATATAGGAGATTAGATATTAGATTGCTGACCGGCACGAAAGCTTAAGTTGTAATTTCTCGAACACATAATATCTACATATATCTAATTTTTTAAATTATTTTTGAACGAAATTATCTCGTATGTTTATATGTGTCCGTTGATTAGATATTTGGGTGCAGAGTAACCATGGAAAGAAATATGAGTGCGCATGCGTATACACTTTATATTGTCCTTGTCTTTATCAACGGCAGCATTCCGATCAAGCTCGGAGAATACAGATTTTTTATTTATTTATTTTTTTGTTGTTGTTGATTCGCTCAGTACAAGGCCTAAGGGTTTACTGAGTGAGAGTGTTGTAAGCGAGGAGGAAGGAGGAATTAAGAGAAGCACATTATGAGGACGTATAGGATATATATCAGTTGGCCCTGGACCTGGGGAGACCAAGTAGTAGTTGTCAGGAGTAAAAGAAAGAAAGAAAGAAAGAAAGAAAGAAAGAAAGAAAGAAAGAGTGTTCACCAAATAAAGATGAAATGGGCGAAAAAGAAGAAAGGAAGGAAATAGAATATAAGTAAAGAAAAAGAGAAATAATATGAAAAGAAATAAGATGCCAAGAAATGAAAGGGTAAACAAAAAAAAAAAAAAAGAAAAGTAAAGGTTAAAGCTGAAAGAGCGAATCAAACCACTTCTTTTAAAATAGCAATGAAAATTAAACGGGGTGAATTGAGTACAGAAGAGATTGTCGGGAAGAAACTCAAGTAGAAATATTAACGTCATTGTCCCATTTCTTGAAAACTGTCGACTGTAGATACTTGTTGATATGTTATAGTGATCTCTATACGAACACGCGCACTCACGCATACACAATTCTAT